ATGGATGGATGGATGGATGGATGGATGGATGGATGGATGGATGGATGGATGGATGGATGGATGGATGGATGGATGGATGGATGGTGAACGTCGTTATAACAAGATTTAAATATTTCATTGAGTTATGTTGGCAGGGGAACATATAAAACTGTTTTAGTAACTTAATAAATAAGATGGAAACATTCTAGTTATAAAAACTGTTAAAACACAAGGTTGTTTTTGACAAATTYTCTAAAATGCCTTGAGCCTGTTTTTGTCTTTCTTATGTCAGTGCAACATGAAATAAATGGTGGTGGGTCCAAACACATCCTGGATTTAATAAAGTTAACAGAAGGGTGAAGGAGCTGTCAGTTAGGCTCAGTCTCCACACTCGCTGACAAAAAAAAGCATCTAATTAGGCAAAATCAAACTACCTGTGGGGACGTGCTGTCAGCCTGTGGGCTCTTTATCGTTGTGCTTTTATTGATTTTTCATAGCAGATGTTTGCAGCACAGCTGTGTTCCAGTAACAATGCCATATGATCTGATATAAACAACATATAAACACATTTATACCTCCCCTTTTCCAGGAACAAATGGCATTATTTTAACAGTTCTTCTGACTTAATTTAATGTTCAAGTCATCTAAGACAAAGCTCTAGGCTGTCATGTTACATYTGTGTGTGTTTATCCAGAACACCTTTCAAACTGTGCTGCAGAAACACAACCCAAACCCATTCATCATCCCGGAGAGAAACATCACAGACCATTTACCTCAAAGATGATGAGAACGTAGACACCAGCCAAGATGACTCCAGCGATGGCCACCTGTGTCTCCATGGTGACGTAGAGCGATTGGTGGGTCATGGACAATGGCACAACCTTGTTATCCTGCAGGAAGGCCTGAATTGTGATGTCGATGGGGTCGCTGTGCAGGAAACCAAACAGCAGCAACAATTATGGGAGTGGTTTTCTTTTATCGCATGTTCCACATCCATCTAGTTCAAATTTAGTCAAAATAGCTGCAACTATACCGAACAAATATAAAACTTTGCTGAGAATGTGCAGATTTTTCTTGATATTAACCCAAACGGGCTAATATTAGGTTTTTGTGGCTATTTAGAAATCTCTAAAATGAAGAACGATATGACAAAAATTCAAGAAAAACAAAAGTCCTGCAGCAGTGAGAGACACTGAGTGGAACAGGACAAAACAGCCTAAATTTCTATAGATTTTCTTTATGGATTTGCCAAACACGGGAAGGAGCAAATCAAAAAGCTGGATAGAAATTTAAAGAAAAATAGATTGAGTGTAAAACTGTTGCTTCAATACTGTAAAATAATTTTAAATGTACGATACATACAGCTGATTTTTAAGACCAACTTAGTAGCATGTAAGGCAGAGATGGGCAACAGGTGGCCCTCGGTCCACATTTGGTCTGTGGGTGACTTTCCTCTTTTTTATTTTACTTAAAAATGTACTCAAAGTAGCTCTTAGATTAATTTTTGAAAATTACAAAAATGTATCTAACTGTGTGGCACTGGTTTGTATGTTTGTAATGACAGAATTCGCCACTAGATGGCGCCAACCCAACCCTCTCACACACGTCTTTTCTACCAGTGACAACATTGCCAGATAAAAATAAATGTTTACTTTTTGTTTGTTTCAACTTTTTTGTATTCATGTTTATTAAACAAGAATGTAACTGTTCTACATGTATTTGAKCATGCAATATATAGAGTTACTGCACTGTATGTTGTTTTAATAAACATATATACGCAAGCATTTTCAAAATGATAGTTGGGTGTGCAGTTCTTTGTGGCCCTCTGGCAGTGTCTACAAAAAATGTGTCTCCTTCCACCATTTAAGCTGTCCATCTCTGGCCTAAGGTTTTCTTTTAGTGACCCCCTTTAGGTTAAATCTTCTCTTGATTCACTGATTTTCAGAACTGAGCCTCTTTTTGCAGGATTGCTTTTTCTTGTTTTGCATGTGCTCAAAGCAGCTGCTGCACAAAGTTAAACAGAGTCTTGGTGTTCTAATTACCTGCTGACCATCTCAAAGGTTTTCGTTAACTCTCTCTGGTCAATTCGTTCAGAGCGTAAAGGAATGGTCCAATTATGAATCACCTGTTGACATGCAGCAGAACAGAAGTGATTCAGTCTTTCGTTAATCGTTATGATACATATCGTGAATAATGTACCTCATAAAAAGTGTCTGACCTGCTGAGCTCTCCTCCTCCGTTGTCCTGGCTGCTCCGTCTGCTCCACCTGGATCAGGATGTACTCCTGCGTGTCCAAGTCTAAAATCCCTCCTGCGAAAGGCCCCGCCACCTGCAGCTTCAGCAAAGCGTTGTCCCGAAAGTCAGTCACATTCATCGCTGTGAGATGAAGACCGTCAAGAGAAAACATGGGTTTGTGCGTTCATAATGACACTTTTTCTTATTCCTTTCTGGTAAAACAAACAGATTTGGTGTGACATGCATAACCTTAAAATACAAAAAGTCAAAGAAAACATCTTTATATTTAAGAAACTTGACATAATACATGAATAATAATAATTATTTTAATAATACCTATTCTGTCACATAGTTGGCATATTTTCTTCTGAATTTGGCTCAAAGTGAAACAGGACGTGGAACATCAAAGGAGAACTCTTTAAGAAAAGGAACTTTCTGGTCTTTGTTTATTGAAACAATATTATTTGAACTCTGACTCAAAATAATCTAAAGAAACCTCAGATTCTTCTATACAGTCCGTGTTGTTAGTTTTTRTAGCAACGCTCTGTTCACGCGCCGACATTCCCCTTTGACATCACTTCCTGTTTCTTCACATGTAAATATCTCAACAACTGTTCATTTCAGTGGCATAATTTTTTAAAACATGTTATCAATGCTATCTTTGCAAAAATACAATAATATTTGTTACAGAAATTTGATGTCACTTTAAAGTTCTGCTTTGGCTCTTTGCAGGAAAGGATACAGAAGGTGTCTGTTGGAGAGACTGCCAACATCCTCCAGGGATTATCTCGATCCGGATACATGCTGAAAAACAGCTGAGAGCAGAATCAGATTATCAGATGGATTTTTCAGGTTAGTAGTTAAACAAAACTCATAAAATGCTCTCACGTTGTATTGATGTTAGTATGGTRAATATTAATAGTTGGAAAGGAGAAATTTACCTCATGTTTTATAATTTAATTGACCATATTTATTTTTCCAGCTTAGTTCCAATAAATTATATATTTTACCACATAATTTAAAATTTACTGTTTTGTGCTGCCTCAGTTTAGCCTAAAGCTAAACTGAGGCAGCACAAA